GCCCGAGCCAGCGAGGTTCGTGTGGACACTGTGCGTGTGGCTAAATATATTTTGAGTGTGCACCGGCAGCCCATTGCACAAGACAAACAAACTGGATGCTTGCTTTGCACACCCTATGCATGTGCTGTTTATTTCCCAACCTGTTACTGTTCTGTGGCTGAGCACACATGCTATTGTGTGTGTGGAATATATCTGCGTATGCAAACCCTCAAATGTCTATACACGTCTGTCGTGGGCCAGGGGCGTTAAGAGAGAAGCTGCCGTGTTGAATCATGGGAAGTGTATAGGATCCAATGCTTGTGGAGCTTGATGCAGACAAATTAAAGGAAGGATATGTCAGCATCTGCAATTTTCTGTCTCTTAACTGGCCTTGCCTTATTTAAGGTCTGAACTGAATTTGTGTGCCACTTCGAAATGAGACCGCTCAAAAAGAATTATATACACAAGCCTTTTAAAAACTGTTGAACATAATATCAAACAAATGTTAATATCAGTCTTGAAAATGTTCTGTGACCTGTCTTCAAACCTGGCAGTCCCACGTGGCTGGGAAACCCGGTGATGAAGAGATGTGAGGAAATCATCCCTTTCTACACTTCATTAGTCTGTGTTTCTCTTCCTTGCTTTCTCTGTTGGTTCAAATAGACCAAAGAATTTGGGCTGTGGGGGGAGTGGGCTCATCTCTCCCTTTACCCGACACCCAGGAGATGTGCAGAGAGTCTCATACATGAACCAATACTACGGCAAGGTTGTGAGGGGGTGGGTGAAGGTACATTCTGTGGGAGAGCAGAGGAAGAGGAGTGATAGCAAGAGGCAGGAAAGAGCCTGAACATGACAACAAGTGGCTTCCATGAATGTACTTAAGCCATTGCATATAGAAAATACTCATGACTATGTTTTTTCATTTACTCTGGTTATACGGTTGTAGCTGTTAGCTGCTAAAGAGGAGGATGCAAAGAGGTATTTAAAAGACACAAATATTATGTTGTTGTTTTATTAGCAAAAAATGGTTTTCTTTGCACAATATCCCATTTAGCATTTATACACACACCAACCTTTCCAATTCAACCAAAAGTAAAAACTTTTTTTATATAATATTTTGAGGCTTTTCTCAAATGTTTTTGACATTTCCATAAAAGGTTTTTATTATGAAAAGAGGGAGACTGAGGAAGAAGGTGCATTTAAGATATTAGAAATAAATAAAGTGTCTGTCTTCATTAGACTGTTCTGTTCTCGAAACCAGGAGGCAGAACCACCCCAAAACACACGCACACGCACACACAAATATAATAATATGGATTTTTGTGCATCTAAAAGTTAACAAACGAAAGGGAGAAAAAAACCTACATCTGAAACTCCTTGTCACTCGTCTGTTTTATACTTCAGCTTCAACGTGATGTCAAGTGATGATACCCCACATTTGCATACTGCGCGTCTGGCAGCTTGTCTGGAACGCCCGCTGGCATGTTGACCAACAAAGCAACACAACAGAGTGGGGCAACAAGCCAATTAGGCAGAATGAGCACCAGCAGGAGGAGGGCCTTAAAGAGGCAGGAGCTAAATCCAAGTGTTTTTGACAGAGGCTGAAAGAGGAGCTGCAGCAATGGACATTATGAGCTAAGTGATCTAGTTATTACCCAAACTACTACATAATGTTTCCTTTTAGTTTAAATAAAATGTTTTGCTCATATAGTATATATATATATATATATATATATATATATATGTGTTACATATTTTAGGGACACACATTCAGACACATTTACACACACACACACGGATAGAGGTAAGAGTGTGTGTGACAGAAGGATGAACATGCAGGGTATGGACCAGGGGCCTGGTGACTGGCTGGCATACAGAAAACGACTTCCTGCCAGGAAAATCATAATGGCATCATTTTTACCTCTCTCACACACACAAACACACACACAGACAAGGTGTGTGAAGCCAAGAAATGGATATACATACACACATCCTCTCTCTCTCTCTCTCTCTCTCTCTCTCACTCACACACACACACGCATATAGTCTAACAATCTAATAGCTGTCAGCATTCACAACACAAGCTTAATATGAGTGGTGTGTCCCATTGATTCCATGCCTCCCTTGTTCCACACCACTGGGAGATTGGAGTAGATTGGCTTATCTGCGCACACTCGTGTCACTGACGGCACATTTGGCTGCCAAACGCAGCTGCTTAGAGGGACCCCTCCTCATAGTGTGACTGTGTGGGCATGAAGCTGTAATCCTGGAGTCTGTGGTTTGTGTGTCTGTGACAGTATGTGTTAAATGTGTGGATTTGTGCTTTTCATGCCTATGTACATTTATCAGGGAAGCTTGTTGGGATGTTAACATTTTCTCTCTCAGCTCTTGTTGTGGGTTTGCAACTGTATTCTCTTATTCTAAATATGTGTAATGTGTATGTGTAAATATGTGTGTGAATTTGTGACATGTGACTCTATGTGCATTTCATGTCCATATTTGTGGTTTGTATTTTGTATCCAGTGTTGGAAAATGACAATAAAATAACAATGTAGAATTATTTTATAAAATAAATATTTGGGCTTTTTAAAGGCTCAGTTTGTAGAATTTAGTGACATCTAGTGGTGAAGTTGCATGTTGCAGCTGAATACCCCTCCCCTCTCCTTCCCCTTCCAAACATGAATGAGAACCTGTGGTATCCTTGAGTTCAGTCATAAAAACTCAAAAGGGGCTTAGTTTGTCCAGTCTGGGCTACTGTAAAAAACATGGCGGCCTCCGTAGAGAGGACCCGCTCCTGATGTAAATAAAAATATTTAAATGTAAAGGGACCATTCAAGGGTAAATAAAACAAATTTGTACAATTTAGATAAAACACACTTGTGAAAACATCACTAGGATTACTTTAGATTGAATTTCTTCCAATAGATCCCTTTCACTTGAATCCTACACACTGGACCTTTAAAAAAGAGAAAATAATTGTAATGAAACATCTCTTGTTTTTTGTAGAGAAGGATGTAACCATAATTGACCCTTCCTGTAAAACTTTTCTGCCTTTCGGCATCCCCTGTAATTTCATATCCCACCCCTGTCAAATGCTTTATGCTCAACAAGATGACGACCTCATCATCCAAGCACAGCGTCATTCTCTTGAGGACACAGGGACAGATGGGATGAGATGGAATTCCTGCAGTATTTTGACATGTGTCTCAGCATGCATCCATTTTGGCACATTTAAGGCTATGATGGGAGTAAGTGAGTTTCTTGTTTAAAACAGTGGTGGCTCTGGCTGTCATAGACTCTCATTTGGATCTGGACAGAATTGGGGATGTGTGAGAAAAATAAAGGGTTCGGTAATTACGAGTCAAATTGGCAAGTATCGAAAGAGGGAGAGATGAGAAAAAAAATCCTCTGCCAAGTACAGAATGAGTACAATTTGTCATATCCAAGCCATTAAGTTTAACCATTGTATTCTTAGATTTGGAGGTTCCAAGTATTTTATGGGTTTTCACAACTACCTTTTTTGGTTCAGACCCTCAGAGCTTTCAATTTAGTTCTTGACCAAAATAACAGGTGTGAAGGGTGCCTCGGACCACGGTCGAAACCAAATTTTAGTCTGACCAAAGGAGGTGGTCTCGGTACGGGTTCCAACTAAATCCACCTGTTTGCAGTGTGAAAAGACATTTTAACATAGTTTGAATCAACAACAGGAAATTAAGACAGCATTAAAGCGCAGAAGAAGAAAATATGTTGAAGGGTCTCACAGAATTGCTTATAGTCTTCACCTCTACTGCTACTAATACCATAATGATATTGCAGAGGCAACGACAATAATGGTTCATTAATTTTATTCTTTTAAACGGAAAGAGACTTTTTTCTGTGCTCATTGTTACAAATTTTTTTTGTAAATAATAGCCTGATAAACAGCACACCAACGTCAGATACACGCACGTCAATCAATCAATGGCAATGTCAAATATAGGTAGACACAGCCCACGTATGGTCCAGACTCAGGTGTGAAACCCTTAATCTGGGTAATTATTATTTTATTTCTATACATTGGGCATAGACAATTTCACATTGAGTCCAAACCTTTAATTTTAAACGGTTTACACAGATATTTGTGCCTTATTCAGAAACTCTTGCTTTCTTCATGAGTTAAAACTAAAGTTGTTTTTGAAAGAAGGATTTCCATTAAAGCTCCATGTCAAGATATTTAAATGAATGACTTCTGTGAACTGTGGCTGAGTGCATTTCACACGGTATTGTTCAGCTACTATAATTCGAGTGTTATTGTCGCTCTTCTGTAAAACAACATCACAAAATTTCAACGCTTGAGCCATTACGTTCTCCCTGAAGACCTCCGGCTCTGAGGAGACGGCAAAAAAGTATGTGGAGAAAAGAATGCACAAGTCGTATATTTACACTTGTTCATTACTGCTGCAGGTTGGTCTTTATTCTCTCATTCTTTCTTGTTCTTAGCTGTCATGATTAAAGGGGGGGAGTGTCCTCACTCAGCAGCATTTCTATTGGAACGATTAAACACACCAGATTACCTGGCCTTTATTTGCCAGCTCTGAGCTCTGTCTCCTCGGTTGTAGTGTGACTATATTAGACGGAAAAGTATGAATTATTAATTGTATAAACATGGAGGGGTGTAATTGTCTGGCCCTATCTCTCTCTGCTGTGGACTGATGTGGAAATGAGCTCACAGAGATAATGACTGGAGTAAGGGAGAGGAAGATGGAGAGAACAGAGGTGAAAATACAAAGGGGGTAAAGGGAGAAGCACCAGAATGTAGAAGAGGACAGGGTGGAGGGGGACAGCAGCTGTGAAGGGATGACGCCATGAAGGCTTGGACGTTTATTTTGTGTGTGTGTAAATTCAGTTATAAGGAGGCATGTACATGTGCCTGAATGAGATATTTACCACGTGCATGCTTGACCCTACATATACAGCAATCATGTATCTGAGTACATGGACACACAAAGGGTTTTTCTGTGTGTGTTTGTGTGTGAGTCTACCTCCTCTCCTGTTGAGCTTGGCGTATCCGGCTGCGTATCCATTGGAGAAAACAGATGAGCTGGTGAAGGCTGTGTGAGGCAGAGGGGAGGCCAGGGCCTCGTCACACTTTGCTGTGGAGAGACAGAAAAAGAAATATGGAGAGCCGAGGAAGGAAGGACGAGAGAGGGACAATGGGACAGAAAGTTTGAAAGGGAGGAGCAAAGAAAAAGAAAAAATGTATACATTAGTATTTTTTAACTGAATTAGAGAAACAGACATTTATCAACACCAAAATCGGAAAAATGGCTTTGACCGACCACTAATTCTAAATCCCAGCATTGTTCATTTAAATGTTATATAGATGAATTCTAAGAAAAATCTCCTTGGCTCAACTCTCACATAAAAATCTGAATTTCTTTTATTTTTCATATGCTTTCACTCACTCACAAGACTATAGACATATGGGCAAAGCTGGAGGTTGATGGAAGTAGTCTGTGGGTCAAGAACTAAGTCGGGCACGTCATATTTGAGCCAACGGGGGCATCAAAAACATCGTCTGAGTTCAAGTGCACTGCAAAAATATGACAATAACAAGCAATATGACCTTGTAACCAGATGCATACTTTATTTAGAAGTGAGAATCATTCAATCATTCAACAGATTTACTCAGCCTTGATTCACAAATTGTTGGGTCACTTTTGAAGTGAAATTCTACTGGAAATATAAAGATCATCTAAGAATATTTTTTGTGCAGGCAGATTCTATATAACTTTTTATTGTTAATGTAATTACTAAAGGCAGAGGATGTAAGTTTCCTCAATTTAGATTGTCACGGTTGGTTATGACATTGTGAAGGTTTAATATGTGGATTGTGACAAATCATAAAGTACTAGAAAAAAGAGGTGAATGTTTTAAATGCAGAATACAACGGCTTTACAGTGGCCTTTCCCACAGCACATAACCCTGAGGTAATCAAGCAGACCTGCGTCCAGATACACATTTCCCCCTCCTCCAGCTGCATGAACTGTGTACCTGAAGACTCGGAACAGCCATGAGGAAAATAGTGAGAGAGACCAGAGATGTAGTGCTGTTCAGTCTATGCTGACCTCCGTGTCAACCCACAACTCCTTGCATTCTCAAAAGAAATCCAAGAAAGCGAGTACAGCGGCATGTATCTGAAGCAAACAAAGATTATGCTGGACAAATACACAAATATATATTCTTGACACATACACATACACACGCACACACGCACACACAAAGTCGCTCTACTCTCTCTCAATTTTCTCTCTTTCACTCACTCATCCACACAAACAAAAATACACTCGCCTCCTCTAGTACATTAGGCCTCACGCAGAGAGAGAAATTGTGAATGGTCTGTCAGGCCAGGTAGAGGCAGTCAATAGCTCTCTGTCATGCCGGCCATGTGAGTGTGTGTGTGACTTGGAGTGTGTACTAGGGAGATTCAGGTGTAGCAGAAATAGAGATGTTTGTCTTTCTGTATATGTTTGTGTGTGAGTGTCAGACCTTTTTGGGCAGTTGGCTTGTTATACATATTACTTTTTTGTCACAGGGGTTCACGGTGAGAAAAAAATGGCATTGTCAGATCTTGATAATGTACCAATGTGTGTGTGCAGGTCTCTGTACGTGAGGGGAAATGGTCTGCAGCGTCCCTCTCTCTATATTTACCCCACATAGCCTGTTTTGACAACACACACACACACACACACACACACACACA